TCTGAGAAGACAAGTGTTAGGCATCTGCCCTTTATTTCTTTTTGGTTTACTCAGCTTTTAAGTTATTTGGCAAAGTGCTTTCAGATGGTGCCCAAAAGCCAGAAACAAAACAAAACAAAACTGCAGAATGGCTAAAGATTCCAACATTAGTTGGAAAAATATTCTGGTAATTCAGAACCTGAAAAACCAAGGAGAATTTCAGCAGGCAATGATTTCAGAAGCATCCTACATACAGTACATACATGCCGCCGCCACACCCACTGTGAATGGATTAAGGCAATGGTTCCACAATATCTATGGACATCCTCTGGAAGGGTACCGTACTTCTACCATGCATAGACCTCCTTGCTTTCTGACAGGTATAAAAGATTTGACGAAGTGCTTTAATATTTTTCCCTACCAGCAGCCAGTGGAAGTTCAGTGGAAGTTTCTCCTTTATTATTTGCAAAACTTCTTGATGTCAGGAGGTTTAGCAGTTAGGTTGAGAAGTGCAAGTCAGTACTTTTCCGATAACCACTAACTGGCATTGCAATTCCCAGTTGGCCCCATACCCCCTTGGAAAGGAGCTCTTATTACACGGTTCCCTTTTGCATACAAATCTGGACCTGCATTTATATAACAAGGCAAAGGCTTCCTCCTAAAACAGATTTTTGAGTCTCTTTCACACATCCTTCAGTATGTTGCTCCTGCTGGAACTCAGGAAGATGCTTTGAAGGTTTACAGCTCTGAGGTTACTTATATCCCTGCCCTCCTGTTCCTCAGGACTCTACTGGAGCACTAATTTTCAAGCTTGAGATGCCTACAGGGATTTCTTTGGTGCTGAATGTACTTTTCCTTATATTGTATCATCCTCTTGCAACACTCTGGCAAATAATTACATTTTATCGGCTCAATAGTGGAAAGGATTGCTTCTTGAATTCTAGCTTTTGATTCATCCATCCAGTAATTTAAAATATGGTCCAAATAGCAAAAGCCACGTCATACTTTTTTGATAACATTAAAAAAAATCAGTTGTGCTAATGGTTAAACTAATCATCTTCCTCATCTAAGTCTTGTTCTTTTCATAGTTTCTGATTTTGTCAAAACCCTCCGCATTCTATGCAGTTCATTTATACACTCACAAATCTGAGACCAGAAGTCAACTGAATGCTCATAAAAGATCCAGAAATCACAGCATGATCCTTTTAAAAGTTAGGACATAGTTGCTTTTCTGGTGTGCCAGGTGTTTTATGATGTCTGTGTGGGGTGAAGAAGGAAGAGGTGGTCATAACTGGCTTGGGGTCGTGATTCACTGACACTTTCGCTTGGTGCCTTTTCACAATGTGTCTCTGCACCTTGCCCCCCAAAATTATCAGCTTCCTCACAATTCTTAGCCTCCTTCCTTGCCTTTCAAGCTGTCATCCTCCCCGCTCTTTAGCTCATAATTTTATATTCAGCACTTCTTTTTCATGAGCACATCTTAGCTTCATGACCTCCACCACTGTCACTTGATTCCCAGGCCGATGGCTTCTTCCTTTAGGCCTTTTGGTGACTCCATGGCTGCTTGTTTCTTAAGCAGAATGCTCTTGCCTGCTACCTCTATAGAAAAGGAAGGATTCTTGACACCAAAACCAAATACTTTTTCAACTGCATTGATGGCCTCGCTGCTTCATTATATAATATTATAACTTTTAAATGTCAAATTCTGCTCAAACCAACTGGGTTTTGCACAACTGTGTTTCAGATTTCCAATGCAGTTCAATATGTCTTGGAACTAACGATGGGTGATAATTAAAAAATCATACTTAGCTCACCTAGTTATGAATTCAGTATTATGTGTTTGGTGGAAATGTTCTCCATTATTTCAAGATTTTGAAGTATCTAAGGATTTCGTGCATGTGCATCTCAAACGTGCATCATGTGAAAATGATATGCATAATATATCATGTGTTACAACAATACCACCTTTTTTTTCCATTGGCAGTTTTTGCATTTCTTTTTATTCTTATTTTTACCATTGTGTGGTGCAGCAGCGCAGTTAGGTAACTGTACGCGCAGTAAGGCGACCTCTCTTTAGATGGTGACATGTCCCAACTTCAGCCCAGTGATTCTCACAAGGAAATTCCTGAAGGTGAGGCCTGACGTAGGCATCCCACTGCTATTGCACACAGATAGTGTTCACTTATCCAGATGCCAGTTCACAGCACTCCTTAGAAAAGCCATCCTTGAGTGTGGGTTGGACTCCAGAGTATTTTCTGCACATTCCTTTTGTATACCGTAGGCGCAGCCACCATGGCTTTCTGCTGGGGCCTTTCCCTGGCTCACATTAAAGCTCTGGGCCATTGCCAATCATTTGCTTATAGGCACTATGTGTGCACTGGGATCCATGGCCTCACTGCCTCTTGTTGATGATTTCTTGCAGGTACAAGCCACAAACAGGCATAGATCTATAGTCACAGTATAGTGCACTGAGCTCAGGCACATGTTTTATCAACTTCATGGGGCCAGCACCTTGGTTTAGAAGACAGAGCACATAACACCTGGATGAGCCAAATGGGCATGCCCTGGGATGATCTAATGCCATGGTTGACAACATGGGTGACAGCACTGGAGCTGCCTGATGCCCTCATTATTCAGCTTATTGAAAATGATCTGGTCAAGAAGAAGAAATACATAGACCTCATCTGGGCAACAGCTGCAGATCTCAAGGCCTTCATATGGCACGCCCAAGCTTGTCTATTTTTGGGTACAGGTACTTGGAGTGGTGGCAGTGGCACGGAGCATCAGAACTGTTGCTATCAATCTTTCCTGGAAGAAGGTGAACAGCACAATGTCCTGCTTGGTATCCTGGTTAGATGAGTGCATTGTTTGGCATCCTGCTATCACTTATGACAAAATGGACTTGTATCAATGAAATGGCTTGTACCTATCACCTACAGGCAATGAGGCCAGGCTGATGAACATCTACTGGAGCCTATGGGACTGGTTGCAGATGTGAGTGGTTGGGCAACAAGCTGGCATGGAGGGGCCAACTCATGTGGCAGAAAAAGGCACTTGGTTGGATCCTTAGTCTAAATCTATGGGGTAGGTAGGTGCCCAACCTACAGATCCAGGATCAAAATTCAGGGAACCTCAGTAACGGGGTCCAGTGGTTGGGTTCTGACTGAAAGCCCAGACATGGGCCAACAGGCCATAGAACACCCCAGATGACATATTGGCAGGATCATCTTACAGATCTACATCATAGAGGATCCTTAACCACAGGATCGACCCTGATGGAGTTATCAGCCAGCAGTTGGGTTGGCTGATTCAGGATGCATACCCAATGCCTATGCCGAAACTGACCTACATCTGTAATCAATAAAGTTGTGGCCATTTCGATCCCAAGCTGGTGTCACACCATTTTTTGCTGCTTCTACACTTCAAAACCCCTCCACGCAGTAACCTCTGGCCCGCTGGGCTTGGGTCTGCAATGTGTCATAACTCCACATTGAGAGATTATAATTATTTTTTCCTCATATTTGGGGAAATTATTAACAGAATGGATTCCATATTTGCATCCAGCCGTAAGTATCAAAGGCAGAGCAACTTTAACCAACATGATGTGTATGTAGTTTTATTAGAAGTATATATGCCCCAAGCTTCTAGTATGTTTGCATTGTCCAGAGCATCTTACAAACTTTTTTAAAAAATAAACATAGATAGAGTGAAAGTTTCTTGAAAGAATTGCAGGTCTCCTTGGAAAGGATCTCAAAAATCATTAATGTATTGGAGCACTGCCTGGCTGCTTTGAGTTGCCTGAGTGTCAGGGACTGGACTGAAGGGGAAGGCTGCGAACCACTCCCTTCTCCTCCTTTGCTTCCCTCGGGGGAGGGGGAGTGGGTGGATCCACCCCTCCTCCAGTAGTTTCAAGAGAAGAGGGAGACAGGGTTGAATTGCAACAGAACTCAGAGCTGCCAAGTTATGAGGTGTTGGGAGAAGGAGGAAGAGTGGGAGAATTGCCAGCAGAGATGTCCTTGGAGAGCACAGAAGAGCCACCATACCTGCGTACACATCGCTAACTTAGAAATCAAGAGCAAAGGGCTCAAAGACATTTGACTCCTGAGGCCACCCATAGGGCCACAGGCTGTTACTGGGGAAAGAAGGGAAGGGGCTTAGAGTGAGCAACATCCCTATGGAGTTAAGGACTGGATTCTTTGCCTTACACCATGCGAACCATAAATACAAACTTTCTTGCTTCTGCCTTGATCCTTGATGCTGCCAGGGGAGGATAGAATCACCCACACCTGACACTACGGGAAGTTATTCTAACTTTTGCTGGGCATTGCAGGTTGGGTGGAGATGGTGGCGATTTCTGAGCCCCAGAGGTACTGAGCACACATATGCACAGACAGTGAGGTGGGGGAGTTCTAGGAAAAAGTGGAAGCTACTGTGAAATATGACTTACAGGCTGCCTTTCTGCTGCATCTCTCTGTCTCTTCCCCACCTCCAACCACTATATAGTCAACAAGAAGCAACAAGACCCAGAACTTTTGTGGATAAACTGGTTGTTGTCACTCATCCTCAGTGCCAGAACACAGTCTCTGTTGTCTGAAAACAGTCATCTTTCTGTTTTAATATCCTGATGTGCATGTGGATTGGTTTCCTCCCTTCTCAAGGAGGGAAAACCGTGGAATTTACAAGAAGCAGTGATGCCCACCAACTTGGATGACTTTAAAAGATGATTAGAATAACTCATGGATCATAAGGCTACCAATGAACCTACTTGAATATGTTACTGCTGTCTCTCCAGTTATACAGAATGTTATTTTAAAAAGGGCACCGATATGAATCAGACATTGCACAGGTGACAAGGACTAAAAATTATGTTGGCAGATAGCGAGGCCCGGAAGGACAACATTTTGTACTTAAGAATGATGCAATAATAATAATAATAATAATAATAATAATAATAATAATAATAATAATAATGGCCTCTTGCTTATGACATTGGAATGGGGACAAGAAAAACAAAAGGGTACCTTTGGAAGGAGCTGAATTGCCTGTAAAATTCTTTGTCTGTGTCCAGAATTAAGTATTCCAATTTCTAAAAGGTCTTGATCCTCCATCACGTTGCTTCCCTAAAACAAACAAGAAAATATAGTGACAGGTATATATTGGCAAATATTTTAGGTAGTTTAAAGCATCTTATGCTACTGGATTTTAACAAGTACAGTACCTTGGGTTACATACGCATCAGGTTACATACGCTTCAATTTACAGACTCCGCTAACCCAGAAATAGTACCTTGGGTTAAGAACTTTGCTTCAGGATGAGAACAGAAATTGTGCTCCGGCAGCGCAGCAGGAGCAGGAGGCCCCATTAGCTAAAGTGGTGCTTCAGGTTAAGAACAGTTTCAGATTAAGAACGGACCTCTGGAACGAATTAAGTACTTAACCCGAGGTACCACTGTACATTGTTAACAACAAATCATGAATCATGATCACACTTCTTTTCAGGTTCAGAAAATGTAAAAGTTATGGTATCACTACTCCACTGCTAGTATTAGCAATTAATTAAATATATTGTTCCATGCCACCCCAATCTCCAAGTGGTGCGAGATTCCAGGGGTACCATGTGCTTTCCCAGGGTTCATGTTTCCTTTTTGAATGAGGCACAGCAGAAATTGTGCTGTTTTTATTACATACGTTTCATTTACACATTAATACAACCTGAGCCTACAATAGAGGGGTTCACAGCATTAATACCCCAAAAGGGTCTTGTTTCTACTTTAGCCGTAGCCTTGTATTCAAACAGAAGTCAAACATTGCTTTGACTCTCTCTCCAGCTTGCTGCTGGCCCATATTATTGCAACGTTCAATTCTAAACTCTGGCTATATCCTTAAAACTGTCTTACACAGAGCCCCTTTCCTTTGTTCCCCTTAAAGGCCCATCACCCAGGCAATCATGTCATCAGGAAGCTAGTCTGGTTCATATTTTAAGTTACAGGATCAGGCAGTTAGAGGTGACAGTACTCTGCACCAGTGAGTACCAATCAACACCAAAAAGCACTGCATGGGCATGTTCCCATCATTATCACTGTATGAAGATGACATTGTGTGGCTGTTGCACAAAGAGCTGCATACATGAGCAGCACGGAGTCCACACTAAACTGCTGTTTAGAAGTGCTCCTTTAAAAACAACACATCTGTGTACTCTTCAAGGAATCCAGTGTTGGTTCTCTTTTGTGTTGATTTCCCCCGTCCTCTTTCTTTTCCTGCTTTCAAAAATTTTATTTGCTGGATTTTATTGCATGATTTTGGGAAAGTGACAACTGGGAGGAACCATATAGATGGGTTGTAGGCAAAGCTAGCCCTACTCAGAGTAGACCCACTGAAATTGATAGACGTGACTAACTTAGAGCAGAGCCATTAAAATTAATGTATCTAAGTTAGTCATGTCTAGCACTTTCAACTGGAAAAACTAAGTTGGATGCAACTCATGTGATTTAATTGTTAATACTTTGTAACAATAAACATAACTTACGGCACACTCCACTATTGCCACAGTAGCTAAAACAACTCTATTTCAGAAGCAGATAGAAACAAAGTCACACAGAATGGCAAGCAGGTGAATCTGGAGTAAGGTGAATACCGGCTTGTTCATCATTCAACTGGCAATATCAAGTGATGACTCATGGGTGCCAAACACTCAAATCATGTACCCCAGGCAGAGCCTTTCTCTCACCTCAAATGCAGCTCTTTTTCAAAGGGTAGTTCATGCATTCTACTATGAGTGAGACACTGATGAAACTAAGACTGATCCAAATGTTCCAACCCACCAAATTTCTCAGCATTTAAGGGTTCAAAGGGGAAGCTCTCACAAAGATTAGGAAAGGAAAGCATATATTTGGCTGGGTGAGGTGACAGCAGTACTATTCCTCCTCCCAAATAATGTCCTGGGAATGATACCCAATCTCCAAAGTGTGCGAGAACAGTGGTACTGGCAGGGGCTGAGCCGAGCCACTGCAGTGCTTATCAGGAATGAGGGTTAGGAGTCAGTAAAGTTGACACCAAAACAGTGCATGTCTAGTGATCATAGCAACTCTTCCCAGCAGGTCTTGCCCCAATGAGACACTGCAGGTCCCTGTATTCCCACCTCCCTCTAAGGCTCCTCCTCTCCAGGGTTTTTCCCAAGGAGTCGCAAACTGTTTCTGCACACAACCAATCTCTGCTCAGTTCTTTTCATTTATCTGCATGTTATGGGATACTAGGCTTGGGGAGGAGCTGGATGCAGCAGGAGTGGGAGACTCCCTGGATTCTTCAACAGCCTACCTCATCTCTGTATCCTGCCCCCCCCCCCGAGTCTGGACAACTCTCTGCCACAGCCTCTTCCTGCTCACTAAACCCTGTTCCCTCTTCAGCTTCTGACACCTTCTTTCCAGCAGTGGAGGAAGGGTCTCGCGCACCTGGGGTGGTGTGCCCAGGTGCGGGGAAAACCGCCCATAGGGGTGGGGCACGGTGCCCATAGGGGCGTGGGGCATGGGGTGCAATGTCCAAAGGGACGGCACAGGGCGCATGGCATCCCGTGCCATCCCTATGGGTGCCACAGCGCACCCCATCCCTATGAACATTGCATGCCCCATGCCGTCCCTATGGGTGCCGTGGCAGACCCTGTCCCTATGGATGCCTCATGCCGTGCCATCCCTATGGGCGCTGCAGTGCACCCTTTCCCTATGGACACTGCACGCCCTGCCCTGTGCTGTTCCGTGCCTATGGGCGCCACACACTACAGGGCGCCCGGCACCCATAGGGATGGCACGGGCACCCATACGGGACAAAACGAGGCAGACGGTGCCCATAGGGATGGGCGCACAGTGGGGCCTCAGCTGCCCTACAGCTGGGGGGGGAGGCAGCGGGCAGACAGTGTGGAGTCTGCAGTCGGCGAGAAGCATGGCTCATTCACACTGCAGGCCCCGCGGTGATGAGTTCTACCCACCATTTTGTTACCCCCCATCAGGGTGACACCCGGGGTGGGTTGCATGCCCTGCGCCCCCCTTCGTACTCCCCTGCTCCTCTCCCTAGTCCTCTCCCTCTGCCCACTCTACATCTCCCCCCCACCAATCCCTTGGGGGTTCTTCAGTTGGCGCCTCCCACCACTCCTCTGCATCCAGCCAGCCCAAGGCATTGCTTTAAAGAGGCAGAAAAAAGTGTTAATGGGAGAAGCCCCCTTGTAATTTAAACTTGGCACTTTAAAGTAGTACTGCCACCATCAACCCAAACGTCATCTGATCTTTTCGCCACTCTCTGCATTTCCCACCCACACCTTTGTTGGGAAGAAAGGTCTGATGGAGAAGTGGGAGGCAACCTTTGTGCAGCTCTAGATGAAACACCAAGAGATTTACATACGTACATGTGTGAATCATTCACCAGTTACCTGAATTGTAGCACAGTACCACCATTCACTAAATGAAGAGCCCTGCTATTATTAGCTTATGTACGGGTGATACATACATGGCTGCAAGCTAATAGACATAGATGAAAACATACTAAAGAAAAAACATATCCCATTTTACATTTGGGGCTCTTACAGCAACTTTCCATGCTTTATGTAAAGCAATTTTATATTATTTTCTATCTATTCTTTGTGTAACCTTCAATATGCAGGAAAGTGGGCTGAAAATTGAGCAAGCAAACAAATGTGTGAGGAGGTGGAGAGAAAGTTAAAGCTATTCCCTTAACCTGTGGGGACAATCTGCCATTTAGTCCTTGCCCTCCCAGAACACTGCTCACCAGCAACTACCCATTATGTGGTCTTGTGAATATCTGCATATTTCCCCCAAAGCAGATTGTTTGGTGGGGGGAAAGCAGAGTAACTCCAAAGGCTGAAGACAGAAATGAGACATCTGAATTGCTTATGAAACTGAAGGCCCATAAGAAGTAGACTACTTTTGATATTTGGCATAATCACCGCTCCTTAATTTTGCCAACAACATTACTCCCAGAAAAGATACCCGTTGTAATTAAGGATCTAGAACAGGAAGCCTGAAGCAATTAAATAGTGCATAGGCATCACTTTCTGAAAATGAGCAAAGATTTGATGAGCAATAAGTGAGAGTGCAAATGCAAGTTAAAGCCTGATCTCTCTGTGTGAAATCTGCAGCATCTCATGGGCCTCGGAGAAAGACAACAGTCTCCCCACCCCAAAAAAAGAACGTTAGAGAATAATGTGCACTGCTCAGCAGAAAACTCCAAATACCGTTATGCATTTAAAAAAGAGCATGACTTCGATTATAGCTGTATTAAAACCCTTGGAGCTGCATTGTCAGCACAGAGCTAGGGTGGGATGGGAAACTGGAAGAAATGAAGGTACTTTCTATTGATTGGGAAATTCTGGTTTTGTTGATCTCATAGAAATGCAGAGTTTGAAAGGGACCACAAGGGTCATCTAGTGCAACCCCCTGCAATGCAGGAATCTTTCTGCCCATTGTGGGGCTCGAACCCATGATCCTGAAATTAAGAGTCTCATGCTGAGCTATCCCAGGGAGTCCCTACTTTTTCATTTGAACCAGAAGTAGCAGCAAGGCTACAAGGGCTACAATGTCTGTAAAAACAGAAATGGCTGCACATCAGAGCCAACTCAGAATCACTCTTTTCATTCATGTCCTTGCAAAGGAAGCACAAGGATATAATGTAAATTTATTTTGGTTTTCCAAAATATTTCATTTAAAGAAATATTTAATTTATATTTTTGTAAATATAGTTATAAAAAGGCAAAAAGTATGGGTGGGGGAAAGGAACTAAGGGTAGAAATCTAAAGCTAAAGAAAAGGGAGGAATAACAAAAGGAACGTAGGGCTAGGGAAAAGCCCTTCAGATATTTGAAGATGGGTATCATATGTCCTCACAGCCTCATCTTATCCAGGCTAAACCCAACTCCTTCAACCATTCCTCATAAGGCGTGGTTTACAGGCTCTTGATCACTGTGGCCACCCTCCTCTGCACATGTTCCAGCTTATCAATATCCTTCTTAGAGAGTGGTGCCCAGAACTAGATACAGTACTCCAGGTGGGGTATGACCAAGGCAGAATAGATTGGTACTATCAATTCCCTTGATCAGGACACTATACTTCTGTTGATGCA